ATGTGCAAAACACTGAATATTCATTAAGACGAATCAATTGCATCCATTTATGCGTGATGAATTTTTAATTGTGTGGCCATGCTTGTGAAGCAGTCTTTGACTGTTCAACTCTGAGAGCAGAAATGCCCCCCTCCCCAGTAAAATCAATACAAGCTCTCTGATGTTTACTACAGCCCGCCATTTCTGGAGGAGAAGTGTTATTCACTGTTGAAGTGTTAGTACTGCAGGTGATGATTAACACTGAGCAAAGACTTTCTGGTCTTTACCAACTATAACCCTTGACCAAATATAATGTGCTGATAAAATGGCATTTACTGGTCTCTCTGTTTTGGTGAAGCCCTCTAATTAGAGTGCACTACCCCTCCCTTTGTGTGGTGACTAGAAGTAATTTATGTATCTAGTCGGTGTGTTGCAAACAATCGGGTCTGTATGACCTCTTCCTGAAAGCATGACACTTTATATGCCGTTTTAATGAGGCAGTCTCTTAGCGTGAGTCAAGTGTTATTGTCAGTGAAATCACATTCCTGATGTAAAAATAGAGCCTCTGCTGTTGTCTACTTGAAATAGCTTGCCGACTGCCACTACTGACCCGCACCTGCAGGAATAAATAAAACACATTTGTCAGCAGTTGCATTTCAAGAGTAAAGCTGTATCTCCGTAAGGCTTAGTAAATGGGCATAGCTGATGTCCACATTTCTTGTTGATTATTCAGAGAAACTGTGGGGAGTGATTCAGAGTTAAGCTAAACCATAGTGAACTAAAGCTATAATGAAATCAAAACATACATGTGGGATAATGATTCATTACATAAAAATGCCTTTATTTAATGGAGAGTCCTGTGTTGTTAAATATAGTTTAAGAAGTAAACAAACACTTATTTGTACATTGACTAAATAATAAAACCAGTTTGTTTTCATTATGCTTTTGAACTCCTCAAGTATGCAGTATGAGGGAGTCTGAGCCTATTGCTTGAAGGGGAAAGTCAAATGACAAATGTTAGTTTTTTTACAGGGCTTTTTACCAAAGTCCAATATGAACCGCATCTCAGACGTTACTGTACATAAAAGTTGAGTGGACAACTATTTTAAGTAGTCTAATGGTCCAATCAGAACATTAAAATAAATGCTCTATTTTTAATAAGCATGGGATTTTTATAGACTCAAAAACATTTCAGTGACAAGAAAGTCAAAGAGACAGCAATCAAGTTCTTCTCATCGCCTGTCTCAGACGTGGCAACACCAGGTTTTCTTCATTGGCTTTATTTTGAAATGGACCTTTTTTTGTTTTTTTTTACTTTTGTTACATTATTTTTTTATCATTTTTTTTATTTGAAGTCTTTCATTTCATCATTGAGTTGATCGACTCACAAAACTAAACGCCTAGCATCTCTGCTCCCTAAAACCGCAAACAAAACGTTGACAAATAAAGAAATGGCTAATGGGATTCTAGACCAGAAGATTTTAAAAAACCTTTTTAAAAGGTGAATTCCTTCTTTCCCAGAGAAAAGAAAGAGTAAAAATGACTTTCCAAGAGAAATGTTCACTCACTATACTATATAGTGACAGACATACCTCTAAACAACCCAAAATATGTTTTCTCAGTCTGTAGGAAATGTTTCCATTTATTGTTGCGGGAAACGCAGCTCAGAAAATCCATTTTCTTTCATAAGGGCGAAACCCTGGAGATGACACAGCGCACACCGCCAGGGCCAAGGGCGGGCAGGAAGGCAGGATCTGAGATCTGCGGCCAGCAAAGGGTTACGGGTCTCAAGACAAAACTGGATTTGTCACAGCGGTCACAGATGTCAAGGGGCGGGGGTGAGAACCAGAGAGAGCTGCCAGTCTGAAGTGCCACTAAGTTTAGATCCTCTCCCCTGCTTCTCTCCCAGACACTGTGGTCCTAGCTGCTGGGGACAAAGTAAGGGATCCCTCTTCTCTCACACAGGTAAGCGCTCTGGCTCTTAGACCACATTTCTGGGGGGGTTTCGTTATCCGGATTAAAACGAACACAGTGTTTCGGCGTGGTGGATGTTGCTGTGCGAAGGGGTGTTCCAAATGGCACCCAGTACGTCCAGACCGCCGGGTCTCTCCTCTTGACTTGTCACTTGACATAAACCTGATGGGTGCCGGCAGCTGCGACAGGAGTTTAAAAATAGCCTCTGGTTCTTTTAAAGCGGGCAATTCCAGAAAGCCCCACGAGAGACTCATAAATGTAGGTGCATTTTCTTACTAGACAGCACACGTACAAGGAATCGGCCTGCGCTTTGTTATTTGGGAGAGCACGTGGAAGATTCACCTGAAATCCGGAAAACATTACTACAAGATTATTCTCAGCTTTGCCTGGGAAACCCGATCTGTTTCTTCAGCCATCACAACGGGGAGCAGGAGTGTGAGGCTTGAGAGACAGATTGGCGAAGCTTTTGACAACAAGTAATTTTTTACCAGCTTCTTTCTTAGTGCCTGCAGATTTTAAGTTTTATCCAGCTAACTATATCACTGTCTGCACCGTGGCTCGTGGTTAAAAGTTAGAAGGATGTGCCCAATAGTCATGGGTTTCACTGAAGGGATGATATCTGCACGGTCTCAATACTCTGGAAGTGTGAATCAACTTGTAAGATGTGCCCTGTGCCTGTGTCATTGTCGTATGTTGTGAAAACAGCAGTCTTGTTGCTCTCACAGCCGGTCTTCCACTTGTATACCCTTCTGAAATGAGTAAATATTGTTTTTGACTAATGCCGGTCTTTAGGATTAGCGGTTTGCTATTGGAGATCAACAACCAAAGAAAGTTCATTTCGGAAGGTTTTGCTCTCTGTTGACTTGGTTGTGAGTGGTAACAAAGTGCTTAGTCCTCCGGTCACGGGTTGAAGCCTGGGTCGACTGTGGCACACCACACCACTGGCTGGCCGCGCTGCCGGCAGGAGTGGGGGTGGGGGGGGATAAGTCTGCCAGGTCTCTCAGGGGACCCTCACAAGTTTGTGAGGGACATGCCTCTCTTCCATTCTGTGCTGTGTTTCCTTTGATACATTGGGTGGGCCAAGGGAGTCTGTGCCTCCTCTTTGCCTCCTGTGTGCAGCTGCAGGGTTCATAGCTACATGCCGAGACACGAAAAGACCCATTTCTTAAAGCCTCAGCATACATCAGTATCAATAAAACCCCAGTATTGAAGAATTGTTTTTATATAAAACTTTCATATAATGCCATGATAATCTCAAAATGATTGCAATTATAACACTTACGCCTGTACTTTCTGTGTAACCCAGTGGTTACTCGGAGCACTGATGACCTCGCATCTGTAAAAAGTTGTTTGTGTTGAAAACGCTTCCTTTGTTAGCAGTACCTCCTTGTGATTAGACTGCAGGTAGCTACCAATTAAGTTGTTGATAACAGAAAGGCGAGAAAGGAAAGAGTCGTCCAGCTGCTGGAAGACGGAGATGTGTGGGAATGAGAGTTGTAGCTTCCGTTCCCTGGCTATAAAGAGAGAGCTCTGCCAGGGGCAATGGGCAGAGAAAGAAAGAGGAGAGAAAAACTTTTTCTTCCTCTCACGCTGCTATGTGGTGCATCAACTCCAGCTGAAATAACGGCCTGATGATCGCATCACCTCTCTAGCCTGGCCTCTGATTCTTTTCCTGGTTTCCTGAAGAGGGGTTGCCTTCACCTGTCCCCCCTACAGTGCACACCAGAACCTACTTGGCCAGTTATCTTTAGCAATGAGTTAACCCGACGCTGCCTTTGCCTTTGTGGAGATTTGACTGCACACTCAAAACATGTAGCACACAGTTTCCAGCGAGCCATCAGCGCCGTGCCTGTTTGCGGCCTTGGCATTAATCTCATTTGAGCGTTTTTCCTTGATGTCTGGATTTGGCCACTGGAAGGCCGTCACAGGTGCCGTTGCCATGGCGTCCCGCGGTGACCCGGCTGGGGAGCAGGTGGTTCCTGAGGAGGAGGATGCCGTGAGTGTACGATCCGTACAGGCCCGGTACCTTCGCAGCCCCTCTCCCAGCAGGTAAGCAACTTCAAAGGACAAAGGTTTTTCAACTCTATCTTGCATAGACCTGACTAGTGTTTTTGCTCCAGGCTAAAAAAACACATGTTCCTTTAACCTGTGCACCATATCTAATTAATACTTTCTGGAATCTTTGAAGTGCTGTGATATTCTGTTTGTGTATTCAGTACAAGCTGTAGTGAAAGCTGTAATTTTTAACTTGGAGGGAGGTTCATACACTATGAGGGTGTAATTTTCATGGGGAAAATGGTTGAAGGATTTCAGTAGGATTCTGAATCTCTAAAATCTACCTTACATCAAGCAAGCCTCTTTACACTTCATGTTTCCTGTAAAAAGACTGTACATGTACTTTCACATATCTATTATTTAAAGTAATTTTAGATTTTAGCGGCATAGCACCAATTTAGCAGACAAACTGAAAATGAACAAAGATTGAATTAAAAAATGAAATTGCGTTTTCTTTCACTGAGATCTCCAAACAAACTCGAGCTTTAAAGGAAGCCTGTATATTTCTTTCGGGTCTGGTAAAACATTTTTTTTTGCATCTTGATGTAGGTTCTCGATAATGTCTGATGCAGATACTGAAAGCATCTTCATGGAGCCAATTCACCTCTCACCTGCTGTAGCTGCAAAACAGATCATAAACGAAGGTAATCGATAGATAGCATGTGCAGTCCTACTTTAAAGATTTTGTGCTGGGTTTCGAGTTCTCTTTTCAAGAGGGATTAATGTACCCTTGTATGGTCTGCCTGTTTTTGACGGAGCTCTCCCTCACACAGTAGATTGCAGGCAACTAATCTTTAAATTTGCTTCTTGTTGTCTTGATGTGCGTGAAATTTAAAACAAAATGCGATATCTGTAAAGGAGAACAGAAGTATTTAAACTAGTAGAGTTTGTGTTCCTTTCACTCCTGTAGTCCAACAGGTACTCATGTAGACATGCTGTTTCCTTCCTCTAGGTGATGGCTTTATTAGTATTTGTTGCCAAATGAATTGGAATCTAACTTCTGAGCTTCACACCGTTAATCACTGCATTCTCTTCAAAACGACTTGAGTGCTCTGTAAATGTTTAAATTGTATTTGTATAGCTGACAGGAGTCCGTTACCAGGGTGAGTACTTTTGACAGCATTCTTACGTACTGCTTACAATAACATTGGTTTCCATTGCCTTGTTGGACAACAGTAAAACATATTTATTCCAAAAAATGATGTGGGTGAGTATGTGACCACTTACTGCACTTACTGCAGCCTCATAGAAATTGTGTGTACAGCTGCAGAACCTTGTTATAAGCACAGTGTGTGCATTACAGGTAACTGCTGTATTGGCACTGACTTTCAGAACCTTAGGCAATTAATCCATTTACAGAGCACACTTGAAAGTGGCGTTGAACTGGATTTGTGCTACACAAAACAAAGACTTCCTGAGGAGCAAAATACAAACGACCATCTCAAAAACCTTTGTGCATAACTAAATTGAGTAAGTAATAAGCAAGTTACTAAAGAAAAAGTATGACAAAGACAATGTGATACCAACACAAGGATGCAAACAATGGAGAGGTTAGTGTTCAACCTATAAGCCTGTGTGTCAGGTACTGTTCTGTTACAGACACTGCATCTGTGACTTGGCGAATTTAGTGACTGTGCCCCACAGTGCTCTCCCATGGATCAGGATAGGTAGATGGTTGCAGTGGTCGATCAGCGAGGTTAGGCTGTGCACAGTGGCTGTCCAGCCCTGTACACTGCATTACTATTCACAGGGCTACCGTGCACAGGGCCCGACAGGGCTCCACATCTGGTGAGCCCATAATTTCCAACCCCACCATTTTCTAAATGGAAAACAATGAACAACATGAACCTGAGCTGGTTCACAAAATTTAAAATACGTCGGAATGTTCTTTAACTTCCAAAAGAATCCAGTATTGCGTCGCAAGGTATGGTACGTCACTTCTGTATTTCACCTTAAAGAGGAGGTTTTGTCGTTGTAACGAACTGGTCACTCCACTTCAGTCACTCAATGTATTAAATAAGTTAATATAAGCTACACGTGCTGGAGGTTAAATATATCTGTATCTTGGACGATGTTGGTAATGGAAAAATGGTCAAATTTGCTTCGTTAGCCTCTTTCTCTTAGATTATTATGTTTCAGTACCATTTTTTCGCATGTGAGAAATGAGCTGATAGTTGACATTGCGCTGCTAATGGCTCTGAAGCTTGGCTCAGCGCGAAGCCTCCCTCATCCTTCCGCCTGGCCTGAACCGGATGGCCGTGATTCTGCCCCTGACAGCGATTAAGAACGGCTCCGCGGTTTTCTCCCTTTAACCCTGGCAGAGCTGAAACCCAAAGAGCTTAAAGTGGAGCCGGGGGTGCCGGAGACGATGATGGAGTCCGCGGAGCAGCTGCTGGTGGAGGACCTCTATAACAGGGTAAAGGACATGATGGACGACAGCAGCCCCTTCGACACCCCCTGCGTCCTGGACATCCAGCGGGCGCTCACCCAGGACAGGCTGGAGGCTCCCACCAACCCCGTGGATGAGGTCTGGCCGAACATCTTCATCGCTGAGAAGTGAGTTGCACGGGGCACTCCCAGATTGAAGGCTGTTGTTGTAAAGCAAAGTACCAGTACCTCACATACCTCAGCTTTCCTTTGGAAAAATATGATCTCTTTTACCCCCCATTCAAATCCGACCATGGCAGAATCCCATCTCAAGAACAGACAGATATAGGAGTTGATCCATATACAGTACAAAGAAACTGTCTCTGAATTTGGAGGTCTGTGCCTTTATGCTCCTACTGTATAAGGCTTACCAGAGGGAAGGGAGGAGAAAAATCTAAAAAAATTCTCTCGTAATACCCTGTAAGGAATGTACTGCAGTTGATAAGCTCTAAAAGACTACTGGACAGAAGTATTCAAAGAAAAAGACAAGTCTTTGCATTTTACCTTTTGTGAACAATTGAAGTAGAAGCTCAGAAGAGGCCTGTTTTTGGTCTACAGGGCTGTGGCAGTGAACAAATCCAGACTGAAGAGGCTGGGCATAACCCACATCCTGAACACAGCCCACGGCACTGGCGTGTACACTGGACCCGACTTCTACACGGGCATGAACATCCAGTACATGGGCATCGAGGTGGATGACTTCCCAGAAATGGACATCTCTCAGCATTTCAGGCCAGCCGCAGAATTCCTTGATGAGGCTCTGCTCACCCACAGAGGTAAGGCGAAGGGCTTCAGTACATAAGAACATAATGTAGGCTCGGTTCGGTTTACTGGTGCAATCAAATGCTTATTTGCACGTGTGCTCAAAAACAGAGACGTTAATGGAACACCAGAACATAAACACGGAACAGCAGCAGCAACAACAACAAAATTAAATAACATGCAACTTAAATCCAAGCCGGACGAGCAGGGTGACAAGAGAAAAAAAGACACATCAGTGTGAGCCGGTGGTAGGGGTAGAGTTCAGTAATCCGACAGTCTGCGGGAAGAAACTGTCTCTGAATCTGGAGGTTCATCTCTTTATGCTCCTATAACGCTGACCAGAGGGAAGGCGGGAGAAAAGTGAGAAACCAGGATGACCGGTGTCCTTAGCGATACTCCCAGCCTTCCTGAGACAGCGAGTTGTAAAAATGTCCACAGTAGAGGGGAGCTGTACCCCAGTGATGGACTGGGCTGACCTGACCACCCCCTGTAACGCCTTCCGGTCAGACAACGAGCTGCTGAGATCCCACACGTGAGCACACTCTCAGTGGCACACCTGTAGAAGGTGGTAAGAACAGTTACTTACTAGATAAGAAATGTTACAAATGAGATGAAGTTACTCAGACCTAACCGGTTGGGTACTTACTAACTAAACACTCAGCCTTTTCTTGAAAGAAGCAAGAATATTGACCCTGACAACACGGCTGGGAAGCCTTTTCCTGCTCCATACTCCTGCAACCCTTTGTGTAGAAAATGCTTCCTGTTCTCTCCTTAAAATCCACTTCCATGTAGTTTCCACCTGTGACTTGTCGCTTGTGTTTCAATGTTTGTACTGAAGAAGTCCACTGGGCTGATTATATCAGTGCCTTTGAGCATTTTGAATTCTTGGTCTCATATTAGTCTTCTCTATTCAACATTGGAACATGCAGTAAGATAATGATGCTTTTTACTTGCAATGAATGATTTTTACTGACCATGTGGATACTTGTATATATAATATATTCAATTATTACATATGTTCCCTTTATAGATTTCCAGATCTATACAATATCTCATGTGATCATATCATTTGTATTAAAATGTTTAGTGAATTATCAACCGTTTTTCAAGTTCTGTGTTTATGTCAACTCATCTATCTCCAATTGCTCTTCGATGAGCACATATCTTTTGTATGAAATCAGCTGGCAGGGCAGTAGAAGACACTGAAACAATGTATCAGCCTTTTAAAAGAGGAATCATTTGAACGATGTCCTCAGGAGTGCCTTTTCAATAGACCTGCTGTTCAGAGTAAAAAATAACAGATATGTTAAAACATATTTTAAGCTGCCAAATGCACAATTTGAACAGCTCAAACTAAATGTCTTGTGATAGGTAATATAATGTAAAGTGTAAGTTGTACATCTACATACATTCCTCCTTAGGAACAGATTGATCATTTCTTTGTGTATGTTTAGCAATTCACAGGTACTTAGTCATAAATAAGTAATACACACTTTGTAGAATACATTTAAAGCAATGTTTTAAGAAAGTCAGACAGTGGTATCTCAAAATACCCTTTCCCAGACTTAATCTTTCTGTGAGCCTTCCATGGCTATAGAGGACTATAATGCTGAAACAAAGCTTTGAAAAAGACCTGCGCACTAGCGCCACACGCTGACTTTGTTGGCGCTATTATATAGCATGATGTATTTCTGACAGAGTGCACAATAATTTATTAGGTTACTAGCACTACACCTTTTCAAGCAAGTCCATAGTCTGTCAGCTTTTCGGAGAATGTGTTCCTTTAGAAGTGTACGTGTTTCCAAGCCTCCTGATTGCAAAGCTCAGTGCGGTAGTTTTATGAGCTATAGGTCACATCACATCAGGTTAAATGTAAATTACAAAGCTGGCTACCCCACCTGCTGGTCTGTGTCGATCACTACATAACTACCTCCTCCTGCAGAACAACTGACCCAATATAACCAGATTAGCTCAAAGCTGTTTTTTCCTGTTTTTATCCCCATAGCTATGAATGGCCTTTAAAGAGTCAGTGATTTACCACACCCTGATAGGTCTGAAACAAATTACTTTTGGTGTTGCTAGTTTTTCACTTTTATAGTGAGTTATAGGTGAGCATTAGCCTTACAAAAACCATTATGATCCTCAGAATGAACAACATTTTCCACCTCTGACATCTGATTATATTGGGACACAGAATAATGCACCCTCACTATGTAGTGTATTAATGTAACTAGTTCCTAGCAAAATATAACATGCAATAATTGAAATTGAAAACAAGCTTTGGGCTTCATCATTTATGATCAGCATTGTTTATTACAACTATATTCCATGTTTATTTTAATATTTCATATGCGCCATTTTAGACATGTAGGCTGCGGTCATCTGGTTTTCCAGAAGGGCATCATGGATGTGATGTTGTAGTTTGATGCACAATATTCCCTCAAGTACATTCAGATATTGTTTTAGGTTTCATCAGTGGAAGCAGACAGTATTTAAGTAGGTGCTTTCCAGAGACATGCTCCTCAGGTGGGTATGATGATAAATCAATCTGGGAAGGAGTGAGCTGAGAATTATAGTGATGTGGACTATTTGGTGATAGACTTACTTCTTAAAGAATGTTTATGAAACATATCCTCCATGTGCTTTTTCACTGTTTTTGACCGGATATAAAAAATGTGAGGAATGGAAAGATACAGATCTTCTTATGGACCGAAAAGCTCAGATAGCACCTTAAAGCTTTAACCTTAAAACAAACAGAAGAAGTCTCTACTGATGCCTTGCAATACATTGCATTTTCACTAATTACAGGAAAATCAAGGCTTAAAAACAAGGTTGCATGGAGCAGAATCAAATACGTTAGTTGATTCATAGATAGGGAGGGATTGACTGGTATTAGTTTCTTAATTACCCCAGATTACTGAGGTTTAACTCCCTTCCTGAATCTCCAGTATTCTAATAATCATTATTGCATGTATTTAACCAGAAAAATCAACTGAGAACAGATTCTCATTTATAATGATGAGCTGGGGGTACCCGTTTCTACATCAGGGCATTTAACCAAAGTCTGAGTAAAGTACCTTGCTCAAGGGCACAACAGCAAAGCCCAGACTTGGATATTAACCCACAAGCTTCTACACATGAGTCCAGAAGAGACCTAAACAATCCTCCAAAGTGTTTCTTTTTTAGGAGCCCAGTGCTTTCCCAATATAATGACTAGCAGTTGAACGTTTACGTCGAACAACACATTACCTACTTGGTTTACAACCCTGCTTTGCAAAGTTTAAGAGAAAATAACTATTTTTGTTTAGATTAGGGACATGTGACTAAGACTGTATTTCCTTTTCTCATTGATTCAACATTCTCAAATAATGTCTCATGAAGGTTTCCAGGAATTTTAAAATTGCATACAGTTGTATGAGACTATATTAAAGATAAGTGATTTATTCAGTGCTGTAAATCTCACTGACGTCACCATACGTTGAAGAATAAACTGTGAATTAATATACTATCAAAATTATGTGTATCATTTAACAAGTAAATAGTGTGGATACAAACAGTCTACTATTTAATGTCTACATAATAAGCTGATCTTATCTGCCTACTGTATTGTGAACCCTACTTCCTAAAGCAATGAAATTCGGTATTCTTATAAACAGGACCACAGGTGACATATTCCCAAGTACAACATCAGGGAACAATGAAACAAAATGAAATGAAATGAAAGCTACAAGCAGCTGTGGACCATGTCCTTCTATTCTTGTAGGGCAGTGTGGACATGGACACACCTAGTGGTTGATATTTGATTAAAAAAAGCTTTGTCCATCTGTCCTCATTTTCATAGCATGAATTTTACTGAAACAATCTGATTGAAGTGCCTCACTCAAGAGTGCAATTGCAGTGCCCCATCCAGGACTCGAATCCACAACTCTTCAGTCAGAGGTCTACCACTGTAACTGCTAGTTCACACTGTTGGCCCAAGAGGAGGTCACATTGAACCCAAGCTGTACTCGCTAGTGTGAACTCACAGTCGAATAATATATGTACCAAATTTAATTGCTCCTCGGTGCACATCTTTAATGGAAGTTGATCAGAAACATGTCTTAAATAAGTCTGATACATGTACAAACATCCTGTACAAGCATCACAACCCCTATTTATTCCAAGAACTATAAATGCATTTAAAACAATTCACAAATTGTAGTTTGGCAGAAGTTAAAAGCCATAATTCAGCATGCAAGCAAATGTGCTGGAAGCATGGAAATGTATTTAATGAAGTAAGCTAACACCGCTGTCATTGTGCTCTTGGCAGGTAAAGTCCTTGTGGACTCGATGATGGGGGTGAGCCGTTCGGCAGTGCTTGTAGCCGCCTACATGATGATCTTCCACCACATGACCATCATGGAAGCCCTGATGACACTGAGGAAGAAGCGCCCCATCTACCCGAACGAGAGCTTCCTGAGGCAGCTCAGGGAGCTGAACGAGACCCTGCTTGAAGAAAGGGGGGGGGGTGAGGATGATGACAGTGACACTCTGAGTCAGAGCTCAGTCATTCAGGCTAAGACACATTCTGTCATGGCGGAGGAAGAGGAATCAGGAAGCGTCATGGGAGCAAAAGCCCATTCTATCTTCGTGGAGGAAGAGGACAAGATGAGCACTATGAGCAGCGTCTTGACCGCAGCAGCCAAGTCCAGCGTGGTTTCCAAAAGACCCACCCTCATTGATGAGGATGAGGAGGATAGGCTGTATGAGGAATGGAGGAAGAAACAAGGACTGCCACCCAGTGAAAAGCCAAACCCCAAAGAAGTCAAGATACCCAGGCTGCCCGAGGAAAAAGAAGATGAAGATGTGGACGGCATGATCAGGGAGTGGCAACGGAGAAATGAACAGTACCAGTCGGAGGACTGGTGGCGGGCGCAGCTCATGAGCGAAGACGAGCAGTCTCTCCTGGGCGGCAGCTCCTTCTCTGCAAATGGCTGTGATGACTTGGAAAGTGTCAACAGCGTGGACATCCGGGCCCTAAAAGAGCGCTTGGCAGCCAGTGGCGCCGGCAGGTTCCGCAGCGATTCGGTCTCCACTGAAGACAGCGCAGCAGACATTTGGACGAAAAGGCTGAGGGAGATCGAAGAGGAGGCCGCGGCAAGATATGGCGACAAAGGCCGAGGCGCCACGGAGAACGGAACTGGGGAGAAAGAGATTGACGAAGAGAGCCTGTTCTCTGAGACCAGCTCTTTGTACAACTTCTGCAAGAAAAACAAAGAGAAGCTCACCCCTCTGGAAAGGTGGAGGATCAAAAGGATCCAGTTTGGGTGGAACAAGAAGGACGCGGAAGCTGAGAAAGCCGAAGGCGGCAGCGTGCAGGGGGAAGAGGAAGAAACGAAAGTCGCTTCGGGCGAAGTCAACCTGACAGCCTACCAGAACTGGAAGCTGAAACATCAGAAGAAACTGGGCACTGAAAACAAAGACGAAATTGTGGAACTCAGCAAAGGAGAGGACACTGCTTCAATCAAAAAGAAACAGAGACGTGCTGAGATATTGGAACGCTCCAGGCAGACCCTAGAGGAGAGCCAATCCATGTGTGGGTGGGACACAGAGAGCTCCATGAGCGGAAGCATCCCACTTTCTGCAATTTGGCCCACCATGTCTGCAAGGAGCATCAGTGATGACACCACTTCGATGCTGAGCATGCAGAGCAACCGATCATCCTTTTCTCAATCAAGGAACCTGCAAGGCCTTCCACCAGCCCCCATCACTCCTCTGCCAAATATTCAGGTAGGCAATGATGATGCCATCTCCTTGGCAAGCATCCAGAACTGGATTGCCAACGTTGTAACTGAGACTATAATCCAGAAGCAAAACGAGTTATTGATGCAGGGAGGCCTCCCTCCGAGTCGTAGTCCATCTGTGATGAGCTCAGGCGCAAGACCTGGTGCTGTGGGCAAATACATGGATGATGACAAAGTGTCCCTTCTGAGCATGCAGAGTGGGGTATCTTACGCAAGTTCCTCATCCAGACAGAGGGAGCTGCCGAGTACAGACAGCCACTCGGTTCTGTCATGCAGCAGTTTGTCCAACATAAAACCTGAAGGACATAGCTCCAAAGACAAAATTACACGCACCAGCAAACCTCTCTACAGCCTGTTTGCAGATGATGTCGACCTCAAGAAGTTGGACACAAAAGACAAGGAAATGAAATCTGAAATGAGAGGCAAAATGTCTGCGTATGAGAAAGAAAAAATAGCTGCTGACAACAAGCGTAGCACCTTGTTCAGGAGAAAAAAGGCAAAAGATGACAAGGAGGATGAGGATGACACCATGAGAGCATCTGGAAATTATTCGTACACAAAGTTCGACAGATCAGACAGATCTGATACTGTACCGAATATTACTGGGCAGCTTTCTAGATCAGTCACAGAAAGTGCAGACAAAACAAGCAGCATCGACAAGTGGCTCAATGACATCAAAACGCCCTCCAGATACCAACAGAAGTCTTATGGTGGAGAAAGCTCCGAAGCTAAATTCCCCAGGTCATCATACACCAAAGAAGACAACATTGAGACATCATATTCAAAGTCCTCCAGAGGCTGGAAGGAATTCTCTGATAGGTCCTTAAGCAGCCTGGATGAGGTGTACAAAAGCTCATCCAGATTCTCTTCTAAAGAACCGTCAACAGCATCAGACCTACACTCCTCTGACAGGTTTGGAGTCCATAGCTATGATGATCACAGAAGAAACAGTACAGAGTTATATGATTTTAGGAGATCAGCAACAACAGAGGAGGCTACCTCTAACATTGCAACCCAAAAACACAGATCGCAGGTAACATATTCTTCTGAAGATGATGACTCCGAAGATAACCATGGATTAGAATATGGAGCTAAAAGAAGATTCACCCAAAGTTTTTCAAAGTCAGAAGAGAATAACAGAGAAACAAAGAGAAGTGACAGTGATGATGAGGAGGCTCCTTTAAATACTTGGTATAGAATAAAATCAAAGCCCAAAGAAGATGAGGAGTTAGATGACGATGAAGTCATCACTGCTTGGAGACGTCAACAGGAGTCAAAATCAAGGACTCAAAGAAGAAGAGAAATATAAACCGTCACATTCATTTTGAAAGCATGTGTACATATTCCAAATCAGAATATGATCTTCCATAACATTCGATAATAATACATACCAACAAGTATTATATTTGATTAACTTACAATTATTCTTTAAAAATAAATAATAAATCATATTACCTGCAAGAATATACAGTCACCTCTTTTACTTATGCTTTCCTTTTAAGGGTTGAAGTAATAAAAACAGAAAGATTATTCATTAAATAATCTTTTGCCGCAAGGATGCACAACATGAATACCTTGTCATTTTGTAACGGACAGTTATACCTTAGTCCGACCCAACTTCATTTGAAAATGTAGCTGAAAGTATACTTACAGTCACTGCTTTGATTTGGTTCAAACACTGAATAGAGGTTTAATTTCTTTATTATGAAAATGTCTGTAATTGATCATTTTCCCCCATAACTGTCAGCTCTGCTATGTCTGCCAAAACATTTGACATTATTAGAAATTGTACAATCAATGAATCTGGAAAGATTCAAGCCATATTCACTGTATGTTGAGATTTCTCGGATATACACTGTACTGCTGTTGTATTTTCATACCATGTATCATTAAATGTATAAGTTAAAAAAAGACACATTTCGGTACCAGTTGTAAAAACTAAAAAATGTGCAAAAGTACTTGAACAAGTGACCAGTGAACCGCACATGAAGGTCCTGTACTAATGCTGGCTGCCTGGAGTCCGTTTCACAAGGTCCAATTATTATTAATCATGTTCACAGAAGCTGCAGTGTAAAATTCCATTTGAACACACAGGGGAGGGGAGGTGCTTGAAGTGACAGCTGTCTGCGGGGGAATATGAACTGGTAAATTGAAACTCTAGAAAACCATTTTCAGTATTCTAGAAAATTCTCAAAGAACCTCAAGAGCTATAACATACACAGCTGAGACGAGAGCTGAATGCTGTTTCTTTACTGTTGCCGTGAGTTAAGTGAGCCGATACTGACATACTAAAATTACCCTTACACAGTCTTTGATTGTTTCATGATATCTGCTTGATTTGTGTAAGGTGTGTGGCATTTAGTTAAAAGTACATACTTTAATAATCCATTATACTCCCCCATATGAACTCTGCTACAGCACAGGATGCTGTCATTACCTCTTCAGCATTTGAAGACCCAGCAGAAGACACTCAGCATGTGTCTAGCCTCTGGTACAGCTCTCTTTATCTTGGGACTAAAAAAATAAGAGCTCAAAGATCATTTCCAAGTTCAACCATCTTTCTTCCCCCAAAAAAGGAGGAGAATTACTTATTATAACTTTGCACTCTGAAATCACCCACTCAGTTATAACTATTAAGTACTGTTACAGCTTTAATTAGAATATGTAAATACAGAAGAATACATCATACATCATAAATGTTCATAAACTGAAAATAAAAAATAAGCTTTCATAGTTCTTGGCAGTGTGCGATAGACTGTGCGATCCTTATGATAACACATTCCACAGTACTGAGTAAATATGGTAAAGACTTCCGTATCAATCACCTTTTAGGAGAAAGACACTTTTTATTCTTTTATTTATTCTTGAATAATTTTCAAGTAAAGTATACAACATTTAGTGAAGCTTTTCTGTGCTGTCATTTAGCACAGCTGACCATAACAGACCCTCCAGCCTACCAATGCTCATATTTCCTCTACAAACACATAGAATGAACTAAAACCGGATTCTAGCCTAGGTCTTACGAAACGTATTCTTCCTAAACAGACGTGAACAAAGCATCCTCACACTTGTCTAGCTTGTCTTATCTGATGCACATGGTGCTGCGTTTTGTTAAATCTTTTAATTATTCCCATTCTTCTATTAATAGTTCACTATAAAGAAACCTTACCTCTAAAATGTTGCTTTTGGTTTCATTGTGTGCCCTTTAATTAATTTGTTTGATCTGTTAAAGATGTAATTCATTACATATTGATACCTCTTCTGAAACCCAGCAATCACAATGTTATTTGGCCCCAGATAAAACAATGTTTTCTTTTCCACTCTGAGTCCATATTAAATAACATTCCTTCCCATGTGTTCTCATACCTGTGCCCATCCCTGTATAGTTTATTTCTCGCAGGTGCTCTGTAAAAGCATTCCTCAAATTGAAAACAACTGAGCTCTTTCCTTGGACCCAGAGATGTCTAATAGTCTAGCATTTTTAAAAAAGTTAATTGCCAAGTGCCTGCTTTATAGAATTCTTCAATAAAACCCCTCAGCTGGGGTGGGAGAAAGACTTTATTTTCCACTATACAAGAAGATGTGGAAATGTGAAAAAGATAGATCATCACAATTTCAAGTGTTGTCTATGTCGTCATCCCTGAAGAGGAGAACACACACACACAATCCTGCAAAATCCTTGTACCACAAAACCTGCACTGAAAGCAAGTCTTTTAAAATTAGTGTTTCTCAGTGATGACCAATACCAACATCCTTGAGATCTGTTGGCTGAGCATTGAGTCCTATTTAGTCGGAAACACATGGCTAAATTGGAGTTTTCCTACAAGCCTTACCAAAATGGTATGCAGAGAGCCAATGTATAATTACATGCACATGTATTTGAATATAAATTGTCTAGTGCAATATTAAGTTTATCACAATATGTATTTAAAAGAAAATGATTATGCAGAGCAATTAACCTGTTCATCTGCAATTAACCTTCACAATGAGAGGATTTTGCAGCAATTTAAAGCAAGTAGTCATTTGCTGATAAAGGTAAGACAGACCAACTGAAAACAAGAGATAGGATGGTAATATTTGAAGGTTATAGGTTTCACTTCTTAGTACGGTGTTGTCAAACTTTATTTTCTACACCGGGTTTCTTAGTACTAAAGCTTTTGAGCCACTTTGTTGCTGTTTGAAAACTGAAACCATGAGACATATCCATGAATTACAGAAAGGTCTCAGACATAATACCTGTCTATGAATAACCTAGAAAGTCATACTAGAAAATGCTTTTTTAATTGCCAAGGCAATTAATTATTGAATGTGGAAATAATTTGTTTTTTTTTATCTATCACAACTGTAGACAAATGCTTGCCAAATAAAATCATTTTAGCAACCATTGGTGTAAATGAATCTCTATAAAACAAATTGAGATCATGAAAAGCGATATATAAATAAAGCTTACATCATTAAAATGTAAGAAAATGTAAGAATATAGTAAATAATAGTGTACTTCATGATTGCATCATGAAGTACACATACGATATTATCATATGGATAAATAAAACATACTAAACTGTATGGAATGCAAAGAGTCAAAACAATAAAAATACTTTAAGTTCCCTTTTGTATACATTTTAGACTGAAATATATGTTTAAAAAATAAGAAAAAACTGAGTTAATAAATAATTTAAATGTAATACGAATTTTATTAATACAAACCTGATAAATTACAAAAATACGTCGTTGTCTTTCTCTTGATTACAAGAACTTACAGACGTTTTTTAGAAAAATATTTTATTGCGGGTGAGGTGTTATTTTTAACAAGCAGGGGAACCACCTCAGCTGAGGTTATTTAAAAATTATTCAAATGTAATAATCTGGTCGGTCGTTATTGTAAGAAATGAAAACACTTGTAATAACATGAGCACATTGTCAAGAGAGCATATTCTTGGGGTTGTGGAAGAGGCTTTGTGACAAAAGTTAAACAACTTCTCTGACCAATTTCTAAAAAACAGGAAAATCAAGTAACAGGAGCTCCCTGGTAACGAGTAACAAGTCTGGATTTGTGAGGAACCTCACAGTTAATGCCGTGTAACCACAGAGACAAACTGAAATGCCCTCCCTCACTCTGAAACTGAAGCCATGAGTGCAAGTTTTATTTTTTTATATTGAAGTCCGTTTAAGAACACTATCTAGATATGGACATAGTCACGTTTACAAACTCAAAATGATCTCTGCCTCTCAGTCTTAGGATTCATTTTTTTGTTTGTTTTACCTGCGCAATCATGGCAGACTTTAAAATTTACCGAGTTTAAATTATTCAAAAATGATCAGACGGGGTTTTCACTAGGGGCCAATGTTGTGAGGCACTTGACTGATTCAAGCCTATTAAATCACGTCTGAGGTTACCGCAAAGGTAATGCCACAGCCTAGTTCCCTCCAAACACTGATATTTAATATGTCTATATTATTAATATACAGTAATATGGCCTTCAGGAAATTCCCCCCAACACATCAAATGGATGGGAATAAAACATTTCTAGACATGTTTGTCTCAAAACGGATATTCTCTCGAAAGTGGATAAAACTCATTTCAAACTTCCATCCACAAGGCTTAAGAATATATAAAAACACGATTAAAAAAAATTATATCGGCATGTATGACATACAAGAACGGCACACAACGTACCATCTACTGTAAATGTCAGTGCTTCGCTTTTATCTTTATTACACTTCCGTACCATTAAACTTATAAAGGCGTTGGAGGTATAAATAAACAAAAAGTACGTATAAAGAACGCTCTTTGTTAATTTCCAAAAAAGTGACATCAAGTGGAAGAGAAAAAAAACGATTCGCCTGATGTATTCGACCCATACTTGAATCAGAAATATATTTTAACAAACAAATGCACTTTCGCACTACATAGAACCCCACTACCGCCCGACACATCGAAATAGGCGGACTGTATGGCTTTCAGGTGATTAAGAACATTTTTATTTTACAAAATATGAGTATTAACGACGCCGACGTCCACCGAGAGAAACCCACTCTCCCAACGTCAAAAATCTCATTTGAACTTCGCTTTCGGCTCGCCCTCTCTCACGAGCTCGGTCACGTTCCTCTCGGGCACGCGCTCCAGTTCCGGAGACGGTTCGTTAGGCGCGCCCACGAGCACTTTGTTACGGGGACGCGCACCACCCCCTCGCTCTTCGACTGTTTCCGGATAATATATGACCCGACGTTTATTTAAATACATTTAATTAATCGGGCATAAATTACAAAATTATACAAAACTTCGGGTGCCGGGGGGGACAGCAAGCGAGCGTCCGGCCTTATATCACGGATAAAATTCGCGGATAAGTTAGGAAAGTATTCATTTAACGTTTGATATCTTGTGGGTCGGGTTTTTTTTTTTGTTTGAAGTTCGTCAGTTTTCGCCAGCTGTTTCCGAAAGGAAGCCGAAGCCGCTCGGTCGTCGAAGCCCCCCCCCCTCCCCACCCGCGATTAAAAACCACATTTCGATTTCGCCGGATAATTTTGCCGACGGGGCGCGAAATGGTACCTGTGCGGGGAGGCGACCGGCATTTAATTGTGGTAAATTAAAAATAAGCCCGTCGAGACGTGTAATGCAAATCGCGGCGTGAGCGCGGGGTGTGTAGCTCTGTGTCTCGGGGTTGGGATTTCGGGTTAAATATTCAAAATGGCGGACGGAGGAGCAGCGAGTCAAGATGAGAGTTCAGGACCAGGTAATCATTACTGCATTTTACATATTCATATTCATATTCAAACACTCTTTCTCTCAACCCCATCAGGAGGGTGGTGGTGGAGTGTGTGTATGTGTGTGTGGGGGGGGGGAGGACGAAAACAAAAAACTTAGCATAATGTATTAGTAATCAGCATCATTATAATTAATACATAGATAT